ACCCTGACATACAAACGTCAGTGCAAATGATGGCAAATTACAGAGAAAAATCCATCAGTGAGATTAAACAGTGCGCTGTGAATGTGTTTGAGGCACGTTCTCATGCCAAGACGCCCATAGAAGTGTTTCCTGGTGTAAAGGTTAAACCCCACTCCCTAGAATTAGAAGGAAGGCGTTCATCGCCACCTCCTCCTAAAAAAGGAGAAAAAAGGCAGTATTTTCAGACTAACAAACCGCATCATGAAGGTGCACGCTGGGACAAAAAGGCTCCTCCTTCAGAGGACGAACGTGATTATCGTAAATGGGATCAGCGGAGGACGCAAAAAAATGGGAACCGAGAAGAACCCCAAAAAGACGTACCTAGCCGCCTCCCACCTCGGACGAAACGTCCCGAGGCGAAAAAATCACAAAAGTCCCAGAAAAAAGGCCCTCCACCTCTGAGCTCGGAAGAGACAGAAAAATTGCGTGAAATGTTAGAAGACTTGAAACACACTGACAAGGGAAGCCGACCAAAAGCACTATGCAGTGAGGTACTCACTATTACATCTCTGGGCGCGAATGACAACACTACAGACGTCGGTGAAGCACACCAAAACGTTGCTGTTGTTGCCTCAAACAACCCCTCATCGGATGAAAGGGGGGTAATCACACACACAAACGATGACGAGTCATCGCAAGCTGAACACGCAGAAACAGCTACAGCTGTGCTGACGGTTCAGACAAACCAAGATTACACAGATAAGGCTGAACGCGTGAAGAAGCGTCAGAAAAAAAACAAAAGGTTTCTGTGTAACTTTATCAGAAAGGGGGCCGCCAAAAAGGCGTACCTGTCAGTAACACTCGAAGGTGTCCTCACACACGAAGCACTCCTGGACGGTGGGGCAGACATAACAATTATGTCAGCTAAACTGTTCGAGGAGCTGAGGACAGCCGCAGCCGAGAAAAACAGGATAATACCTCTATCTGATTGTGCTATAGAAATGCAGGGTCTCTCGGAGAATAAAACAACCCTGACAGCTATAGCAATGGTTCACATGCAGATTGGCAATATGACACTGTACCATCCGGTACACGTGACTCATGTTGACTCATTCCCATTTTTGGTTGGCCAGGATTTTATAAATCGCTTTAACGCGATTATAGATTATGGTGATCAAACAATGTGGACAACAGTGAGCAAACCACTGCCAATAGATACGCCTCCGGAGTGTGACACAGACTGCCCAACAGCAGGTACCGCGGAAGGCACAAAGGACTCCTCAGCCGAGGACACGAGCCCGGTGAGTACTCCTCTGACACCATGTGAAACCAAAGAGACCCACCAAGAGGTCCAAACTCTGACTCAACAAGACAGCCTCCTCTGTGAGCTGGAGCTATCAGAGTCCACCAAACACTACCTACCACTGGTAATTAAGGGTGTAGAGATCCAAGGGTCCCACACCAACGATGCTGTACTGTCTTTGTGGACAGATAAATCAGCAATTAACCGAGCTTTCTACGAAACCTTGGTTCACAAACACGTTGGTCTAGAACTAATTAAAAAAGCTTTCCGCTTTCCATTAGTTCCCAATAGTTCACAGGTAATGACCGCAGAAGGAGTCATTAACCTAAAACTGAACTGGAA